ACATACATTACATAAAGGCTAAAATGTTCACAGAATCTTTAAAATCAATAGCCATCTACAATATATTACTATAGAGAAATTTATAATTTTATCAAAAACCAAAAATGTATTAAGATGAGAATACCCCAATTAATGTTTCACGTTGACAGCTTAAAATGAATTTTTTGATATAAAATAGGCAAGTGTTTGACATGTTAATTAAGGATGTGAGCACCACAGGATTCCCAGGTGTCCTCTATGAAAGGACTGTAGATATCACTCAATGTATAGAGTTGATGTAGGTCTACAACTGGAAAATGCTGAATTCCATCTTGAAAGTGAACTCAGTCCTTCAATATAATCTTTCTGAAGTATTACTGAGAGGTATTGAGTCATACTATTTCCCTAGTACGACTGGAGAGGATGGATGTACGACGAGAGACTACAGCCAGCTGGACTACGACCATGCTATGGGGTGAGCTATGAAATATCAGATAGGAAGGAGTCTGGAAGGAGGCGAGGAGGCGGTAGATGCAGGCTGTGTCGTAGCGTTCTCACTGCAACAAACACACCACAGCACTCACTACACACTCGTATTAGGCACAAAACATAACTATTCAACACTATTAGTTTACCACAAAACAAAATACTTACATGGCTTTCTCAGTAATATGAAACAAAATCTGTTATTATAATGACAATACTTACTCTGGTAAGTGATGTTACTCCAAAAATACACAAATACAGCCAAAAAGCAAAGCATGCAATACTCTTACATAGTTTTCTGTATTTTGATTTTACAAATATGTACTGGTCCTCCTACTGTTAACTAACAAATTACCATGTAACTCATTTGTAAGGAAAGGTTAAGCTAGATTTGGCAGTCTACAGCATTACTTCATAGAAGAAAACTATTTTTCATTAAGTCTTCTTGATTATAGCAACTTCATGTGCTGGTCAATTTGATATGCCAATCTCAAATTTCATAATACCCTCCCAGTTTTTCAAATGTGTTTCCTTCTTTCTTTTCCACCCTCAACTATTTAATAAAAGTAAAAAAAAAAAAAAAAAAAAATGCAGTGGAAGGTGCAGCTCAGTCCAGAAGTAAGAAAGGTGATTGCATTTGCAGACCAAAAGGGGCTCAGGGCCTATGAGAGGGGAAGCAGGGGTTCAGCCAGTATATTGGTCTGGGGCCCAGACCTTAATGAAGATTTTGCAGCAGAACTGCAATATTTACCATTAGTACAGTACATACAGCAAATTTTGGAAAATCAGAACTGAAACCTTTAGAATTGCAAAATTTATTAACAGACTACAAACTTTGCGAGATCTTTTCAAACGTTTTGTTTTAGTTTGACAATACTGTTGACAATTCTAGCTACAGTAGTGTCAGCAGAAAGATCTTTAACCCTTAAACGGTCCAAACGTATATATACGTTCTCTCGCGTAGCGCCCCAAACGTATATATACATTTCACTTGTCATTCATTCAACATTGGCACGATATGCCTGAGTCGCCTAGACATGAGAGAATGGGTGTGCGCACTCAGTGTGTGCCATATGAAAAAAACTGGGGACTCCTGGGTACCACATGCTCTTTTTTTCCTATAAAAAATAAAAAAAAAAAAATTTCTCAAAATATTCAGGGCGCTGCGCAAGAGAACGTATATATACATTTGGACCGTTTAAGGATTAAGCAAACTCAAACATATCAAAAAAAAAAAAAACTTTTTAAGGTTTACTATGTGTTGAATCAAGAATTACCAGTGAAACTGATTTTGATAGTGTTATTAGAATTTTAACAGACAAAAAAGCCAGAAAAGCTCATTTCACTATGTACTCTACATTTTACTTTGCAAGAACTTATTAAAAGTTCAAAAATTTATACGTGTGTATAGTTATATGTCAATAAAAATGTTTAAAATCTATTAAGTATATGTTATCTGGTCATTCTGCTGCACAGGAAATAAAGCATTTGTGAAAGTTTACCAATGGTTTTACTGGACTTCAAATTCTCAATTCTGAGAGAGACCTCAGCTAGCCCCCCCAAGGGCCCCAAGGGCCCCAAAGCAGTCTTGTTCTGCCTTGCAAAATTTCTCTTGGCAGCCCTGTGACCAGACGGAGAGAACAGGAAGTTTTGAATGACCAGAAGTCTGTAAGAATGCATGTGGAAAGAGATGTGAGGAAAAGGATACGTTCCGAAGGAATACAGTTCCTTAGCCAGCACCACGTTCTCCAGAGATAATAGGATGGTTGTACCCATGGAGGAATTGGAAAAGCAATGCTCTCCAAACAAATCCTTTATAATCTACCTACAGGCAAAAGTATTAAAAAGCTATTTATATTTTATTTTTTCCCTTTTCATTTTAATGTTTTATATCACTACAGTGTGGCATCCCATAAATTCACAACGAAGAAATCAGAGAATCTTCAGATGACATTTTGGTCATCTAAAGATTTCTCTTATTTCTGTGGTAGTTGTAAACTTTTCCAACTACGGGCTTCTCAAGAGAGGTGCCTTGATGCCACAGAGGGGCTCCTCATCCAAATCGATATTTTTTTTTTAATCACGGAAGCTCTAAACCCAAATGGATTATACAGTGCATAGGGAATGGGAGACAATTTCAAAGCAAGAAGGTCAGGTCCAGTTCCTTAGATCAAACACCCCTCACCAGCATTACAGAACCTCTTTTGAGAAAAGTAAATGTATGTTCCCCTTCCTTGGATCAAACCCAACTGTCTCCCATTTCCTATGCAGGATATGATTCCTTAGGGTTTAGTGCTTTTCCTTAGTCTTTTCCTTATTATAATCCAATTAGTGTTGTGACTTTTAACATTCTCTCTGCTCTTTTGATGGAGCAGCACAACTTTTACTTCCCATTGACCAAAAAACTTAATTAAATTTAAATTTACTCTTGTTTATATTAATTTGGTTTCAATATTATTACAGGATACTTTTTCCTGGCACAGATGGAAGGCTACTATGGAGTTAAAAGCAGTCAGACCTCATCAATCCAAAATTTTAACATTGAATACATTCCTTTAACAACAAAAATTTGACAATGGATCATTTTGGTCAATTTTCTTTTAATGTTTGTCTCTTTGTGTTCACAGAATTTTCAATTTGTAAAAAGTAGATTTTTTCATCGACAAGTGATAATTTCTTTGATGTGTACAGTGGACTCCCAGTTTTTGTCCGGTCCAGATATCGTACAATTCGGGTTTTGACCACTTTTGGGGGGGAATTTTTACCCCGGGTTTCGTACATCTGCTCGGAAATCGTCCGTATCAGACATGTCCGCCAGGGTCACTCATACGTTCGTGATACTAATACGCATATAAACATGCCTTTGTTACTCGTTCACTAAAAGTGTCCCTCTAGTCTTAACGCCATAGTAATAATACTAATACGTAATAAAACTCACTCTTGGGAACATTAAATGTTTTAATTTAGGTTAATATAGACATTTTCATTAATCCATCTAAAATATTTTCTTCAAAATTATATAAGAAACACATTACATAGCATATAAACATGCAATGTTTGTGCTATGGAGGTATGCTAGCCAGGCAGAGGGAAAACATTACGTTTTCTCTGGTCCAGCATCAAAGCAAACGCTTATGAATCTGCTTTGGCCCAGTCACCACCCTTAATACATAATGCTTTTGTTTAGAATTCTTGGCATGAATTATTCATTACTTTTCCCTTTGTTTATGATGGCACCTAAAGGTAGTTGTTAGAAACGATTAAACTCAGTGAACATGGTATGTCGATGGTAATAAAATGGCTCTGGGCCGCATTAAACAGGTAGGTAGGTGTAAGTATGTAGCCCAGGCGGACTACATAGTACCTACATCTACCGGCTACCTACACCTGACTTCCTACAAATAAGTACTACTCGCCTCTTGCCGTACATTAATACTACAAATATTTTAAGGTAAGTAATGAATGTACTGTGTATGTATTTTACTTTTTGTGTTTTTTAATGCGTAGTTCTATTAATAACTTAATATAAGTTAGTGTAAACTTGACAACCCTACGCCCGTTGTGGAATCTATTGTGGCTTTGGGGAAGTCCATGGGGTTGGATGTGAGTGGCCAGGATAAGGAAGAGTTGGTGGACGACCATAGGGAAAAGCTAACCACTGAAGAGCTGCAACACTAGTTATTCTCTATTGTTAATATTTTTGGGTATCTGGAATGGATTAATTGGATTTGCACTATTTCTTATAGGAAATATTACTTCGGTTTTCGTCCATTTCGAATTTCGACCGACCTTCTGGAACAGATTAAGGACAAAAACTGGGGGTCCACTACATTATTTTATTAAAGTTTATGTGCTTAAACTTCTTTTTTATTCACTAATTCCTTTGTCCCATGCCTAATGTTCTGACTTACTGCTTAACAAAAATAAATTGTAAATGATCTGTTGGTAAGTGTGGGAAAAGTAGAACCTGGAAACTACTTATAGGACCAGAAAACTGATACCTTGGAACAGCCTCAGTCCCAAGTACTTTAGATTAATGAGGTTTGACTATCTTATGTGAAATCATTAATAAACCAACTTTGCAATAGAGATGAAGTCTTACTCATTTGCCCTAAGCTTTTCTTATGGATAAAAGCTACTAAAAGCATTAAATACAGTATTTCTAATAATCTTATTTGTCCAGTATTAAAACTAATTTATTGGCAGTGAAAACTTTGGCTCCAGCATAAGCTGTTATGCAGAAATGGAGAGTTATATTAATGATATGTATGAAAAAAGAAAATGCATATATTTTAATCAAACAGCAAAAGAAATCTGGCTCATCAAAACAATATTAAATATAAACTCTAATTTCTGAATCAGCTATTGTAATATGTAAATAAATACCAGGTAATCTGTTAATTGATAATACAATATAATGGGGTTTTAGCAACTGATGAGACACATTTCCAAAATGTTAATCTAGGATAAAACAAAAAAAGCATGGCGTTGCCAGTGATGGAATCTCGACCCTGAATGATAACTTTACTGCGTACCTCTCGGCAATGTACCAAATGGAGTTGAAGATTCTGAGAACAGTGTATCAGCATCAGAGGTGTCTCGGGAAACACTGCGGGCCCATATCGGAGAGCTGAGTCCCCCTAGTGTGTCATCATCCCGCCCAAGGCTACTACGCGACATTGTCTCGGAGATCCTCCTGTTAATTGTGATTTTAAGTTAGCGACTATGAAGTTGTAAAATACATTACCCTTAGTTGTGACTGATACAATTATAGAAGAAAATATTAGACAAAGCTATTCATGCTTTACAAACAAGCATCCTCCCATGAGGATGAGTGAAAGAATGGTACTGTCCTCTCCTTTCTCTAGCATTTCTTTATGAAAATTAAGACACGTGCAACATCTGCATATCTTTATTGTAGACATTTTGCCATCCAGTGGCTTTATCAATACAAATTCTAGGACATAATTCTAATTATGTCCTAGAAACAATTAGAATTATGTCCTAGAATCTGTATTGATAAAGCCACTGGATGGCGAAATGTCTACAATAAAGATATCCAGATGTTGCACGTGTCTTAACTTTCATATTGTTGGTATTTTATACCTTTCTTGCACAGCATTTCTTTAGCAATAGTCTATTATTCAAATTACTGACAAGGATTGTTTATGCGCCAAGTTTCTCCCAACATAATTACTACTGTTTGCTAATTTTACCCTGGATATTATACATGTATTTCTTTTTCACTGCCAAGAGAGGTAAATGATCACGTAGGCCAAAGTGCTCTTCAAATCTTAAAACTATCTATCAAATATTATTACTGAAGTATATGCTACAGCTTATCACAAAATAATGTCCTTTTAAATATAGGTAGATTGTGATATATCTATATAACCTAACAAGGTAGCTTGTGATATATCAATATAACCTAACACATGCAGGAGTAGTAGTAGTCCAGGAATAAAGAGGTCATTAAAATTTCTTTATAAATTTTCTAACCCACTACAAAGTAAGAGTGGATTTTCAAATGTTTAAAAAGTTTTTAAATACCATGACAAAGAAATGCCATTGAATTTTCATAAACTATGTACATAACTAATTTTCATTAGCTATGTATAAATTTTTCTTTTAACTAAGCACCTATCCTATGTGCTCTAAAAACTTTCAACTGCTATGCATACTATTTTCTTTAGCTATGCACTTTGCAATCATTTACTAGGATACAGTTTAAAATATTACAGCATTTTTCAGCGCTGTATAGCCCTTGTGGCTTAACACTTCTTTTTTATTATAATAATAATTACAGCATTTAAATATCTACTACAATACATGAATCTCATTTGGCAAGTGGCATTATGCATTAAACTGGAAAATTTCTGAAATTATCAGATTATAATACAGAATTTGCTATCCATATTTGTGACATGTTAGAAGTTAATTACTGTACTATGAGTGTGTTTTCCACAATTCTTCTTCTAGATTATTATAAAAAAAAAAAATCACAGATTGGTCGAGGTACTGGACCTGGCAGGCGAATCTCGTGGTGAATTGTAGAGAGATGACCAAAATCCTGAAGAAGCTGAGTGAACTGCTCCAATTCCTGCACTACTTGGGGCCATGTTAGGTTCTGGAGTAGGTCGATTCGATGAACGGCGACTCCTCTCACTTCTGATTTCATCTGCATTCATTTTACGAGTAAGTGAGCGGACTCGGTTGAGTAAAGTAGAAAACAGAGACTCAGCAGTGAGGATTTGGAAGCCATCATCTTCATCTTCTTCCTCTTCCTCTCCTGCAGAGCTGAAACTTTCACTGTGATCCAACAGGAATCCTCGCCCTCTACTGTACAGTGATAAAAAGACAAATGTCATGTTAATAACAAAATCACATATAGTAAGAGTCATAAGCTCATTTAGTATTTCACAGTCTAAAGAAAGGGTGTAAATGTAGCAATCTTCCTTTCTCCCAGTGAAATACTGACAAAGATTTTTTAATACTGTATCACTGTAACATATATGTAATTTTGATTTCCCATTGTCTTGTATGTAGATGATACATGGTACTTTGTCTCTGGCTAGAGAACCACAGGAAATTTTAGCAGTCCTAAATTACTTGGTATAGTAATGGTGGTAAAAGGAAATGGTCTTTTACTGACGTTTCACCCATGGAATGGGTTTTACTTATTCACAAACAAGATGAAGCCCATTGAATGGGCAAAACAAAAAAATAAAGGACCACGTGAGGCTGCATTTCTCTCTTCACTGTTGTGTCTGTACTTTATACCAATATATCTTCATGGTACTGTAACACTAATATGAAAAACAAACTTATGACTCTCTAATTCAAATATACATTATGCAATTGGATAATAAAAATTAAAGTATATTAGAACTTATGTGGGCTAAAGCTGGGGATTTAGATATTGAAATTAAATGCCTTTGCTGTACCAAACCAGCTCCATGTAAACTGCATGATGTACTCTAATTTGTCTAATAATAGCTAGGAGTTCAATTAGTAAGGCTCATACAGCTCTTTGAGCTGTCACAGCCTTAAACTTCAACAACCCCCTAACCATTATCATTTTGTGTCTACTGTGTATTTTATTTACTTAATATTACCCTTTATCACTGTGATTCAGAATATCACCCAAGCAGAGTTGAAAGTTTGAAGGTAGAGTCAACTAGAAATAACCACTGACTAAAAAGGCAGAATTGTTTGACAAATAACATGTTCAGTGAGTCAGTACACATGCCCCATCTTCCTCCCACCAATTACTTCTAAACTTTCACTCACACCACTCCCAACCTACCTGCTGCTCCCACTCACCAATCACCTCCAAGCAATCAACACATCTCCAACCACACTGCAATCCAATTGTCCCCAACAATATTTATCCCCTCCCCATTCTTCCCTAAGTTCAAACCCTTTCCAACTCCCTGACCCCAAACCTCCCTACCTCAAGTGGACCCTAATCGAGGCTTCCTTCCCTCCTTATTCTACTGATTTCCCTCTGACTCCTTTCTGGTTACATGCCTCGTCCCACCAAACAAGCCTCTTACATGCCTCCCAGCCCTCGTTATCTAAGGCTTTTTGAGGACTCCTCAATCTGCCTATATGCATTCAAAGGAAACCTCCCATCCCCTTTCCCCTACAAATTTACATACACTTTCCTTCCTTCATTTACCCCCAACTACTAAACTACAATCTTGTTGAATTCACCCCATTCCCCAGGAGCTAACCTTCAGTAACCACCAAAATTAAACACAACTCCAGAAACAGAGGAGCTAGCGAATACAGTGGACCCCCGGTTTACGATCAGCTCCCAATGCGACCAATTATGTAAGTGTATTTATGTAAGTGCGTTTGTATGTGTATGTTTGGGGGTCTGAAATGGACTAATCTAATTCACAATATTCCTTATGGGAATAAATTTGTTCAGTACTGGCACCTGAACATACTTCTGGAATGAAATAATATCGTAAACCAGGGGTCCACTGTAGTTAGACTAATGGATAATTATGTAGGCACACAGATACAAGCCATATCACTAACATAAATGGGGAGATAAAAGACAGAATAATAAAAAAAAGATAGACATTGTAGTACTGCAATTTGCAAAGGTAAAACAAATGTAATAAAGTTGGTAGAATTACCGACAATATGTAAAGTAAAAGGACACAAGTGCAACTAATGTGACATTTATTGTGGCAACGTTTCGCTCTCCAGGAGCTTTATCAAGCCATTACGTAATGGCTTGATAAAGCTCCTGGAGAGTGAAACGTTGCCACAATAAATGTCACATTAGTTGCACTTGTGTCCTTTTACTTTACAAAACAAATGTAATTTTCCCAGGAGTATTGTAAAGGGAGAATAAGACAGGAGTTGCACTCAAGATAAATAATGATTGGCAATCCAAGGAAATGAAACACAATTTCAAAAAACATCAGTGACATGAGGGCTGAGGATGATAGTGATATACAACTCACCAATAAGAGCCGAGGAAGCAACATCACAGAGTAAGCAGGGCAAAAAGTGAAGCTGCTGATGAAAGGCCCTTCAATGGGAGGGTACCTTGATAAGAGTGAGAGGCTCTTCATCCAAGGAATTGGGGCTACTCTTTGGACTAAATCTGATTACCTCCCATTCCCCAGGTGTTGTATGAACTGTTTAGTGCTTCACCTTGAATACATTAATAATATTGGTTACAGGGGATTTCAATTATAAAAATTTGTTAGAAAAACCAGAACCTGCATGGAAAGCCAGAAATGTAAAGAGCAAAAAACATTGAAGGCAGCAATGGAAAGGTATGAGCAAACACAAGAAAAAGCTACATGAGAGGTATGAATGATCCAGCAAGATTTTAATTGACAGTTTCCCTGAACAATCAGATACAGTAGACTGTCAGATAACAACAGTAGTTACGGTCCTGAAACAGCATGTAATAAAAAATCGTGTAAATAAAACTAAAGAACATAAGTGAAAAATAGAGTTGTGTTCATTAAATCCCTACCCAAAAAAAAAAGTCTCAAAAATGTAAAAAAAAAAAAAAAAAAAAAAAAAAAAAAAAACTAATATTGTAATTGAAGATTGATGTGGTGATGTGCATCAAAGATCCTGCAACCAGGTATTTTAATCTCTACTAGTAAACAGAGGTATTTTAATCTTTACTAGTAGACAGAGGTATTGTTAGGTTGTTCTACTCACTACAACTGTATGGGAATTATAAAGGAGGGGTTAGAGTGGTTGGGGTATACACAAGAGGAGTTAATGTGGTTGGGGTGAGCAGGTGCGGTGTGGGGGACTGAGGGGCGGGGATTTGACGACTGCTGTTGTGGGAGATGAAAACTGAATGGTAGTGGCTGATGAGGGGGTGGAGTTTGGAAGCAATGAGGCAGTGTGATGGTGACCGTGTGGGTAGCAGTGTCACTAGGTGTGTGGGCTGTGAAAGCATGGGTAAGGTGTAGGAGTGAAGTCATATGGGCTTGAAGCTGTGGGGGAGTTGTGTGGATGAAAGGTGTGGTTGATAGTGGTCCAGTGTGGGTGGTGATTGGATGATGGGTGGGTGAGTGGCAGTAAAGAGGGTGGTGGATGACTAAGTGATTAGGTATGTGGGCAGCATGTTAGGGTGAAAGGCTAGGTAAGGTTAGGTGTGGGGCAGGGCTATATGTGGTTTTCAGGGAGTGGGGAAAAGATGTAGGTGCAGCCATGTGCTGTGGGGGGCAATTATATGGGTGGGTTGTGTGGGGGCAGGTTTTTGGTTAGAATGGTGTGGGTGGAGGTTACTGGTTGGGAAGGCATGGGTGAAGGCATGTGGCCATGGGGAAATGTGAAGGTGGAGGTTCATGGTTGGGATGGTGTGGGGCATTATAGGGGTGGGTGGTATAGGTGTGAGTTGTAGGCAATATGGCTGAGGTTACTGGGTGTGCAGTGAGGGTGTGTGGCCACAGAAGGGAGGGGAAGGTTGAATGAGGTAACAACAACTATGCAAGAATGTAAAGAAAAGCTGATAAAATATGAAAATCAAACCTGTTTCATGGATATATAAGAAGGAAAATGACTGTAAAGGACCAAGTGATAAGACTGAAGAAGGAATGAGGCACATTTGCTATAGATCCCGGCCGGGGGTATGGTTTGTTTGCAATAGTGTCATTACGATTTCTTGAGTCAGTTCGGTATCCTGAAAGCTAAACAAAACTGAGAGGTATTCATAGAGGTACAAGAAATGATATCAGAGAGCATGAATGAGCACAAGAATAGATTAACCACACCAAGAAGACACCAAAAAACAAAGAAGTAAAAAAGACACACAAATGGATACAACTAAGCAATGGGACCTAAAACACATTTTCTCAGAAAATGGATTTTCATTAGTTAATATTAATTTTTAACCCATAACCTGTCCAAATGTAAATCTACGTTTGTACTGCTAGCGCTCCAAACGTAGATCTATGTTTTATTTTTCTTGCCTCCAAATTTGGCACGTATGGCCTGAGATGCCTGGTCAGTATAGAATGGGACTTAACACTTGGTGTGTGCAGTATTAAAAAAATCTGGATCACTTAGTACCTTGTGGGAGCACCTGTTCAATTGAGCACCAGCTAGAGCAAATAGCATGGCAAACACCAGGGATTCACTGATGTCATGTTGTATTAACACTCCCCTTTTAAGAGGAAAGTGATGCTGACCCAGAGTTTAGTGGCTCTGAGATGAATGTGGCCATAAGTGGTCGAGGAAATATCAAAAACCTCGATAATAACCCTTGTGCAACATCCTTTCATTTCTGATACCACTGGTAGTGTCATCCTGCCAGAATGTCCAATAACCTATGCCCTAATTAAAGAGAAAAGATTCGGGAACAAGTGTAATATGTATTCGGCAGGCCAGCCAGCTGGCTGGGTGGCTGGCTAGCTGGCTGACTGACTTTCACTGTCTCTCTGTCTATCTGTCTCTATGTCTGTCTGTCTATATCTGGCTCTCACAGGTACACATAAGTACAGTTATTATACATCATGTAAATTACTTAGGATAACCCAAAAATTCCAGTGCTTGTAGATATATGGCATGATAAGCATGATGCAAGTAATACGCCTTTTCACTTGCTCAGGAATCAGGAAGCGGCTTGTAAACCAACAGGTTTACAAGCAGCTCCGAGACAGAGACACAAGCAGACGGAAAGACAGACACACAGACAGACAGACAGATGAGCAGAGCTAGACAGATAGACAGACATGTTTGTGTGTAACAGTGAAAACAAATAAAGCCAGGGTCCCCTGGAACAGTGCACGTTCATCAAGTGTCACTGCACTGTCAGCAGTTTACTGACACTCAAGTTTTATATATAC